CAAGCCCCCTATTACTCTGTGTCTCTCCTCTTGGTGCTTGCTCTATTTAACTAATATGTGTTTCCCTGCATATTCAAGCATTTAACTGTACGACGGACCGCCTGGTACACCGGCTGGGTATCTCCGCCAAGCACACTTCCTAGCTTTAACTGGGACACCCGTAGCGCTTTAGCCCACGCTTGCCGAAGCTTGACTGGTGTCTATTTGAAGTTCAAGCTCTCCTGCAGAATGTATCATTGACTAGAAAGTAACCACAGACTTAAGTGGGTGGCCGCCTTTCGTATAACCGAAAACACGTGCTTCAGAAAATGGCGGCCGTTTTGTCTGCAAACGCAGGCAGCGGTACTTCGTTGTTGGGTGTATGGAACTCTGGTTCAGCTACCTGACCTCACAAACCCTGGGGAAGATTGTAACATTAACAAACAATACAGGATAGTGTACAGCGCATATATCAGTATGGAGTATACTATAAGTCCATACCCTTAAAGGATCACTAAAGGGCAGTGATGGCGAACCTTTTTGAGCCCGAGTGCCCAAACCGCAATACATGACAACTTTTTTTTTCTCAAAGTGCCAACACGGCAATTAAACCTGAATACTGAGATTTAAGTTTAGAAAAAACAATTTGTACAGTTGTCCGAACTAATTAACAACTTTTGTTTTAAAAGAAGAACACAACAACAGAGAGTTCAATGATACAAATTTTAAATAATGATATAAATAGATAAAATTAAGCTTATATTTATTAGTATCTCCAACAAATGGAATACACACACACACAGACTGCTGAATACACACACACACACACACAGTCTGCTGAAAACACATACAGACAGACTGCTGAGTACACACACACATACTGCTGGATACACACACAGACTGCTGAATACATACACACAGACTGCTGAATGCACACACACAGACTGCTGAATACAAGTGTGTGTGTATTCAGCAGACACACAGTCCATTGAATACACACACTGCTAAGTACACACAGACTGCTGAATATACACACACACATAGACTGCTGAAGACACACACACAGACTGCTGAATACATACACACGCACACACAGACTGCCGAAAACATACACACGCACACACAGACTGCTGAATAAACACACACACACAGACTGCTGAATACACACACACATACTGCATTGAGGGGTGCAGTGTATGTGTGTGTGGGGGGAGGGGTGCTGTGTGTGTGTGTGTGTGTGTGTGAGGGGAGGTAGGGGTGCTGTGTGTGTGGGGGGAGGTAGGGGTGCTGTGCTGTGTATGTTGGGGTAGGGGTGTTGTGTGTGTGTGTTGGGGTAGGGGTGCTGTGTGTAGGTGGGGGAATAGGGTTGCTGTGTGTGTGGGGGGGTAGGGGTGCTGTGTTTGTGTGGGGGAGTAGGGGTGCTGTGTGTGTGGGGGGTAGGGATGCTGTGTGTGTGGGGGGGTAGGGGTGCTCTGTGTGTGGGGTGTAGCGGTGCTGGGTGTGGAGGTTAAGGGTGCTGGTTGTGGGGAAGGGGATGGGTGCTGGTTGGGGGAAGGGGTGCTGGTTGGGGGGGAGGGGTACTGTGTGTGTGGTGGGGTAGGGGTACTGTGTGTGGGGGGGAGGGCTGCTGTGTGGGGGGAGGAGCTGTTAAAAAAAAGGTATGCTAAATCTGTATCCCCCCCTACCTCCTTCTTACCTTTGATGAAGGAGGGAGGGGGGGTACCCAGCCATCCCTGGTGGTCCGGTGGTGGTATGGATTGTAGGGAGCTAAAGCCAACTCACTTATCTTTTAAACACAGAGATGCCTGAGCGGGCTTACTGTTGTAGTGAATGGAGACCCCATGCTGGGCCTCTTGGTCCTAATAAAACAGTTAATTTTGTATCATTCATCAGTCTCAGCTGATGTTTTGTTATACTAGAATTATAATCACTGCCTCACTATGGGACCTGGGAGAATCCACAGCAGAGGTACCACTCACGGTACAGGCACTCTGTTAAAGTTATTACTATTGAGCTCCTACTGACAACCTGGTGCTCACTGTCTAGATGTCCTGTGAGTGATTCCCATATTGGTCCTGCATTACCTGAAGTCCCAACACAATGAAAGACCCTTGCACTGTACCTATTGTAGTTCATGCTAGTTCATGTAGTTCATTACCTATTGTAGTTCATGCTGTTACATTTTCTGGTGTCCCTTGCTTACTATGGACCATTCTCAGGCTCACACAGCTGATTTTCAGAGTATGATAAATGCTGCTGTGGTGGTGACTGTGGAGAAGGCATTGGCCAAAGTGTTTCATCAGCCTCCTCCGACACAACCACCTGCACAATCCCAGGTGCTAGATGGGGGGTCTGGAGACTCCACTGACTGGAAAGGCTCTGATCAAGAGGGGCATAGACTTTCTAACCGGCACTGGGAGGAAGCTTCCCAGAAACCGCATAAAATAATGTTCCTCTAAATTGTAGTAAACTGCACTTGTTAAGCATGGTGGCTTTGCCCTCCTCGGCTGAGGATGATCAATATCTTCCACCGGCACTGACTGTGGTGGCTAATGGCAAGCTGACCAGTTCACATCAGATGCAAAGGCTACATCGTGAGGTGCCTCTATTTGTCCAAGAATCTATGGTAGGTGAGCCCTGCTCGGAGACTATGGTTGTGTCAGGATTCTGTGGAACCTGAACACACAGACAGAATCACTCAAAGATAAGCCGTATACTGGTTCTTAGAATGGACAGGTTAACGAACAAACAGAGTCAGTATAACAAACCGAGTTCAAATGGAGTACAGAAGCCAGGATAATCGATATAACAAGTAGATGTCAAAGGAGTACCAAAGACAGGATAAGCGTATAGACAAGAGCCAGAAAATATCACCAAACAATATTACAAGAGGAACATGCTTTTGGGCTATCAAGAACTACAACAGGGCAACAAGGAAAGGGAAAGGTAAATTTATATAAGCATCACTTAATTCTGATTGTTCCAATTCCACTTGGAATTGACCACAATTCGAGAAAGGTAGTTGACATTCCTAATCTGACCTCTGACTTCATTTATATGTGCCAAATTCGTCTACCGATTTATGCATTCGGTTCGGCGAAAGCCGAATTTGTAAGTCTATTCTGTCGAATATATATGCAGCAATACACGGAATACTGTAGGGGACCGCAGCACCTGGAGCTGACATGCCAGTTAAGCAGGCAGAAATCCTGACAGGTTGGGACTGTTTCCTCCGGCACTCTGCAGGACTCGAAAGTTATACTATGCTCAGTGCAAAACAGATGTTTGACCCGTGGAGTATGCAACACCCACACTCAGTGGAATGGACACCCCCTGAGCACATTGCTTGCTTTTTCCACTTATAGTTGTGAAAGTCTTTGAATAATAAGTTTGGATCCCTCTACAGGGGTAATGTCCCAGGCCTAGATTGCCAGATAAAGTCACCCAAACCCCTGAATTCATCCAGTTAATGGTCAACTTTATATCCCACAGTTGAATGGACCCCAGAAAAGGTATTGAACGAGATTTTAAGTCAGCCCAGGACCAAGTTCTCAATACCACAAGCCCGTTATGCAGTTGGCAGATGACATCCTCACTGGCTCTTCCTTTGACTCTCAGACTGTGCATGAATGGGCCCTATCTTACGCGAATGGATGTAGCGTTGTGTCTATCTGATTGGCAAAGCCAATGTCGCCTTCAATTTAGAGAGAAGGAGTGCAGCACTTTTGTGGATAGACCCTAAACTTTATCGTTACTACTGACTTCTGTACTCATTTGACCTTGACTCGTTTACAATTTATTCCATTTTCTCCTAACCTTGAGCTCAGCTATTTCCACTCTAGGACCGGTGCACATTTAGTCTCTCTTTGTTGTACTTTTGGTCTGTGTGTTTGGTTTCTTATCCCATCCTGACACCAAGGTGTGTGACGGGGTGCCCAGTCACTTTTACTAGTTGGAGCCAGACTCTAGTCACCTCCACAACAGAGCTATCAACATGTATTGTTAAGGTTATTATTGTTAGGCCCCCTGGTGTCTCGTAGGTAATTAAATTATCTTGTGTTGAGTCAGCTATGTCCCAAATACCAAGGTGCCCAGGTTGTGCAATACATTGTTCTTCATAATGAACCCCTGTTAAGAATGTGTGTATATATACCTGTGTATTTCTAATAACTCAGACCTGTTTTACCCTTCATCAAGCCTCACCTGATGTTTGGGATGAGCTATATTTACTCTGGCTGCTCTGTTCCAGGGAAAAGGGATGAACTATAATCACTTTTTGTCCTCCAGGAGGCATAACCACCTAGCAAAGCTAGTGGGTATGCGGCAGCCTCCCGGAGTCAAATGCCAGAGCTGAAAAACTTGTACTGTGCATCTGCACAGCAACAGCATTTCAGCCAATCAGGTAACCAGGAGAGCCGCACTGAGCGCGGGAATCCTGATTGCCTAAGATTTTTAAAATGGCATCATTGATGGAGGACTCTATTTCTGTGTCTGCCACAAATTTAGTGGATGCCTCTCTTAAAGGCAGCCCAATCAATGTTAGAAAGCTCCATAAGAGAGCTTTCCTTGCCAGGGATCTATCCTCTTCATCTTCTGAGCAGGATTTAGTCCCAGTTTTAAGGAAAAATAAATAAATAAAGGCGGCTTCTGAGGAAAACTTCTCTGCTCCTCCTTCCCCTCATACTCGTTTGAGTACGCGTAAAATTAAGGGGACAGTACCCCAAAAAAGGAATAGCGCGTTTCCCTCGTTTGAGCACCAGAAACACCTTCCAGAGAAAAAGGACAAATCTCGTTAGAGGTTAGATAGTCCCTCTCCTTCCTCTTCTAGAGCGTTTGCTCACTCTTCCTCCCAAAACCGTTCCAGTTCCAGATACGACTCTCCAGAAATAGACTGGGAATCCGAGGAAGTGGTACGTTCAGCAGCTTCCACTGAGCGAGGGAAGCTAAGCAATGTTCAGATGGCCAGAGTTAGTCTCCTAGGAAAGACTCTCCCATCAAAATTATTTCACTCCAGATGGGCTATGGAGCATGATTCTGAGGTTAGAGATTTCACTAAACTAGCCTTCAGATCCCCCTTGGTTAAGGAGGATGACCTTCTCCTCAGGAACCACATTGGTATCCCGGACATTCAGGCTTTAATGGCCCAGAGGTAGATCCTGCTCTGTTATCTATCACAGGGAGCAGCGTATCCTCTGATCCCACAGACCAGATTTTTCGCAATATACAGTTCAAAATTGCTGATGCTGTTGGCCCACTATTACTGATGCTGATGCTTCATCTCTGTTGGCATCTAAGATGGCTCTTTTAAAAGTGTCTGGCAGGGCAGTGCTAATCCTTTAATTACATATCAAACATCCGCAGATCCCGCTGGCTCCATGCAGCATGTCTGTCTGACCTAGCCCCCAAATCGCACGAGTTCCCAAATTTGGAGGATTCTTACCTATTCGGTCCCTCGTTCATTCAGGAGGGTAAAGGCCATTACAAGGCATGGAGATCCTTTTCAGAACTCAAGAAGTCCGTCCCTGGCTACAAAGCCCTTTCAGACAGAGGGTCGCCCCTGTAGGGCTGCAGAAGCGTCCCGAGAAGCCTTTCACCAGGCCCAGTACCGCCACTACAGTGGAAGACTCCTGAGCGGTGGCAGAGGAGCGCATTCCAGAGGCGGTTCAGCTTCCAATAGAAAACCCATGCATTCAAGTACATGTGCCCCCTTATATGCCACTAAATTGGAAGGATATTTACTCAGACAAATGGGTTCTAAAGATTTTTCAAAGGGGTTTACAACTCTCCCTTTTAAGGTTTCCAGTCCAGAAATTTGCACCCCACAGAGAGGTGAACCCAGTGCTAGATGCCTCCCTTTCCTTAGCTTTAAATCAAGGGAAGATAGAGTTGGCAGACATGTCTATCACAGGATGGGTCAGCCCATTGTTCCCAATCCCAAAATCAGATGGGTCCTGGAGACCGGTCCTAAACGTGAGGTCTCTGAATGTTTTCATCAAAAGGATGGTTCAGGATGGAGGGTTTATCAGATCTTCCAGGCTTAGTACAGAAGGTTAGACCTAAAAGTTAGACCTGCATAAAGTTAGACCTAAAAGATGCCTTCCATTCAGTCCCCATAGCCAAGAAACACAGGCGGTTTCTCAGGTTTCAGTGGAAAAGAAAAGTGTGGCAGTGGACCGTTATGGTGTTTGGTCAATCCAACGCACCATACACATTCTCCAGAATTATGAAATCAGTGATAGCTCTTTTTAGATTAAAAGGTTTCATGTGTCTGTACTATCTAGACGACATCCTGCTCATATACCCAGATGGGGAAGTCCTTGCTTCTCAAAGGGATTACCTTGCTTCCCTTTTACAAGACCTAGGATTTGTAGTAAATTTACAGAAATCAGTCCTAATTCCCACTCAAAGCATCCTCTTTCTGGGTTTCATACTGAACACCAGGACTATGTCTCTAGGAATCCCTCAAGACAAATGGGACAAATTACTGGTACATCTGACCTCATCCCTCAGGCACCAGAGTTGGTTCACCTTTGGACCAGTATCTGTAATTTCTAGATAATTCACATTACAGAGTTTGATTGTTCATGTCCGTGCTAACTATTCTCTCTCTGATACAGGTTTTTTTCTATTGGAACACCAGACTTGCATCTTCCAGTACATGCTGGGAAGCGTCGGACACAGTCTCTTAGTGCTCTTCCCAAGGATCGAGACTCTTCCTCTGAGAAGGATGGACGAAGCCCCAACAAAGTGAGTCTGCTCTCAGAAACACAAATGATGTTATAGAGTTGTTCAGGTTGTGATTGCTAGCATAACATCTTAACATATCGGGCATAGGACATTCCTAGCAATTGCAAAATAAGGGAAAAAAATTGACACTTCCCTCTAATACGTCCATAAGGTTTCAAATTTCTTACACTACTAGTAAGTGACTTGCAGTGGCGAGTCCATTTTATGGCCCTGCGAGGGACTTGCCTTTTTTAAGCTGGATGTGTATAAGTATATTTACACAATATTCTATGTATAGAGCTCAAAATTTCCTTTTGCAACTAGCTATTAAGGAGTAATATTTTAAGCTGGGAAATAGAAATTCACCCCTGGTGACTAGGCTTTGATTTACACTGTGAGTAACTTTTAAAGCCTAGCTAGTGGCATAGAATTTAGGATAGTATGCCCCTTGTATATATGTTTATATATTATATTGTGTGTATTTTTCTTCTTTTTGCCAGCGAGAGAAAGATCATATTCGCCGTCCCATGAATGCCTTCATGATCTTCAGTAAGAGACACAGAGCCCTGGTGCATCAGCGCCACCCAAATCAGGATAATCGTACTGTCAGCAAGATCTTGGGGGAGTGGTGGTACGCTCTGGGGCCCAAATAGAAGCAGAAGTATCATGACCTGGCTTTTCAGGTACTGGAGATGAAAAAGGAGGTCCATTTGAGCTTGCTATTGATCCAAATAGCTTGCTGTAAAAAAAGGCATTCATTAAGCTGTACATGAATCACCGACTGAAGGCCAGGTTCATCTGAAAAGACCAGATATAGATTAGTATAGTATTGAATTAGGCAAAATACTGTGAAAATATGGAGTTTGAGCAGAAATAAGGCCATTGGTACATGTGCCATGATTCAATAGGTAAAACGTTACTGGTCAGGATAAAGCTTTTTGTTCTGGATGCTCTTATGGAAATCTGAAGTCTGTTTATTGATCTTTTTCAAATGGATTAATTTTGGCTGTCAGTTAGCACTTTCCCTTTAGGTCTCTATAATGTGCCATATTCTCAATCTTCCACTTTTTGTTTGCCCCAGGTGAAAGAAGCGCACTTTAAGGAATCCCTCAAGACAAATGGGACAAATTACTGGTACATCTGACCTCATCCCTCAGGCACCAGAGTTGGTCCTTGAGAGACCTAGCAAAGATTATCGGGAAATTAATAGCTTTAACACCAGCATACAATTCCCCCTTACTTTGCAGAAGAAGTCAGCTGTTTTGGGGGAATTGACTAAGAGAGGGCGGCCATTGGGAATCAAAATTTGTTCTCCCCAAGAAGGTCAGAGAAGAGTTGAAGTCCATTCTGGAGTTAGAAATTCCACTTCCTGTTAGAACTGGAATTTCTGTTAGAGCAACCTGCGGCAGTCACTCTGACGTCAGATGCCTCAAGTCACGGTTGGGGTGCGTTTACAGCCCAGAACGCCATAAGAGGAATTTGGTCAGACCAAGAGAGTCACCTCCAAAGCAAGTTTGCAGATCAAAGATTCCTGCAAACTCTGATGGCTACTCTGTCCCAGGAGAGAAGGGATACTTGGCGGAGATACTCAGAGGAGCTCTGCCACAACCTCATCCCTCAGGCACCAGAGTTGGTCCTTGAGAGACCTAGCAAAGATTATCGGGAAATTAATAGCTTTAACACCAGCATACAATTCCCCCTTACTTTGCAGAAGAAGTCAGCTGTTTTTGGGGAATTGACTAAGAGAGGGCGGCCATTGGGAATCAAAATTTGTTCTCCCCAAGAAGGTCAGAGAAGAGTTGAAGTCCATTCTGGAGTTAGAAATTCCACTTCGTGTTAGAACTGGAATTTCTGTTAGAGCAGCCTGCGGCAGTCACTCTGACGTCAGATGCCTCAAGTCACGGTTGGGGTGCGTTTACAGCCCAGAACGCCATAAGAGGAATTTGGTCAGACCAAGAGAGTCACCTCCATATAAACATCTTGGAGTTAAGAGCTATAAAATTAGCTCTCCAGCGTCTAGTTCCTCTAAACGTCACCAACGTCGGTAAAAGTCCAATCGGACAACAGGACAGCAGTGGCTTAGATAAACCACAGAGGGGGCACAAGATCAGTGGGTCTTTGTTTTGAGGCTCTAGATCTTTGGTCTTTGGCTTTAGCAAGCAATGTTCAGGTTTTCACAGAATACGTTCCGGGAGAGGCGAACGAGCTTGCAGACTCTCTCTCTCACCAAAGTTTTTCCCTGGCAACGATTCAATTAAAGATTGCTCTATTCCAATGTATAGAAAGCAATTTTGGCCAGAGACAGGTAGATCTGTTTGCATCCCAAACATCTGCACAAACACCCAGGTTCGTCTCCCGGACCTGGACAAAGGGAGCTTGGAAAAAGGATACAATGTCTTTCCAATGGACAGATGTTCCAGCCCCTTATGCTTTCCCCCCTCCATCTTTACTGATGAAAGTGCTGGAGAAGATCCGCAGGGACAGGGTACAGAGCTTAGTTCTCGTTTATCCAGTATGGACCTCCAGACCCTGGTATCCCCTGATCCATCCGTTAGTCAAGGGAACCAAAATCCCACTGGGCATGACAGTGGACTGCTTTCAGGGAAACAGCGATCTTCTGCTCAAGCTCCCGCAGTTGATGTGGATCGCAGCCCCTTTTATCGGATCAGTTCTTGGATATTATTAACTCATCTTTAAGACGTAGAACTAGGGTAAGATATAGAAAGATGATCGAGGAATTTAAAGAATGGGAGGCTTCTTTTCTATCTAACACACAGGGATCTGATACAGTTCCATTGGCTTTAGAATTTCTTACCCTTAAGTTCCATTCTGGTTTATCTGTCAGTTCAACCAAGACCTATGGATCTGCTTTAAACTTCCTGATCCCCAACCTTACTCAGGATGCCCTGTATTTGAGATTACTAAAAGGGTTATCCGTCTGCCTCCCATATACCCCATGCTACACATCTACTTGGGATGTAGACATCTTATTAAATTTCCTTAATTATTTGGATAATACTAAAATTGATTTAAGATGGACTGCTATTAAGTTGGCTTCTCTGCTGTCCTTGGCCCTGGCAGCTAGAGGAGCCGTGTTAACTCAAATCCATATTTCAGATCCTTGGTTGTCCAGGACCCCGGAAGGTTTCAGTGTTATACTAAAAGGCAGACAAAAAACATACCATTTTTCTCCTGGTCCGGTAGAATTGGATTTGGTTCAAGATCCTTCCGAACCAGGCTTATGTTTAGTCAGTTTGTTACAATCGTTCCTTCAACTTTCTGCTGTATTTAGAAATGATATCAGTCAATTATTCATTACATCAAGGAATCCCTTTTGTCCAGCTAAGGTTAATACAATTAGAGACTGGATACTTTCCGCCATGTCTTCGGCTGGTATTGATGTTTCCGTACTCCAAAGCCATTCAATTAGGGGAGTCTCGGCTACTAAAGCAGCAGGAAAGGGCCTTCCTCTCCCTACTTGAAAGCTGCTAGATGGTTGTCCAGTGAAACCTTTGTTAGATTTTACTGGAGGTCATCAGAAGTTGAACGCCTTCAGTTTCTTAGGACAACCACCAGGTGTGTGCTATTCTACCCACTAGCTTTGCTAGGTGGTTATGCTTCCCGGAGGACAAATCAGAGTTTGCAGGAATCTATGATCTGCAAACTTTCTTTGTCTTAACGATGAGCATAACCACCTAGCAATAGCGCCCGTCCCACCCTCCTCTAAGTTAAGGGTTTTGCCTGCTGGTGGTAGTTTGTTTTTCTAAAACATAAGGTTATCTGGTGCTTATTCAGCCTTTTGATAACTGTTCTCTGTTTTGTTTTTTTACAGACTATAGCCGTACTCCAAGACGAGACCAACAAACCAAGGATCCACCTAAGTAGGAGTATTGAATGCTAGTAGTCTCGTCAGTATGATATTCTCGTGGACTCCCTGCATAAAGAATCTGTTTGCTGGGACTTGTTACAACATTTCTTTTCTCTTTATTTAACTTATTTTGTTGCAATTTATGATGAATGGTTCCAGGGTTCATTTGATACTTTTCTTTGCTATACATTGTTGCCTTGTTGCCAGCTCAGCTGTTTTATACAAAGTTCCAAGTCTATCTTATATGTCTTCATGACTTATTAAACATTTTTCTTGTTCCCCTGTACTATTAGCTACTTGAATTGTTTTATTTTGTGTTTAGATGTTTAATTATATTCCTATACACTTTAGGCAATATTTATCCTTAGTACTTCGAGGGATGTGCTAACCATCCGCAGTTTCCCAATTTAAAAAATCTGAGGCAATCAGGATTCTCGCGCTCAGCATGGCAAGCTTTTCAGCTCTGGCATTTGACTCCGGGAGGCTGCTGCATACCCACTAGCTCATCCCTATGCTCATCCCTAAGACAAAGAAAGTTTGCAGATCAAAGATTCCTGCAAACTCTGATGGCTACTCTGTCCCAGGAGAGAAGGGATACTTGGCGGAGATACTCAGAGGTGCTCTGCCACAATGTGTTTTTCAGAAGACTGCTATGCAGCGGGATGATGCTGTCTGCAAATTTTGGGCATCTAGTCCAATACCCTACCAACAACCATCCTTCTACCCAGACAACAGTCACTTGCCCCAATGTAGAATCATTCTAGGGAGTTCAGAGCTTGTGGACGTGTTAAATTTCCCTCAGGTTAGTCCCTCTTTAAAGATATCTGTCAACCCTCAAAAGGCTTTCTCTTGTGTTTGAATGTTTCCAGCATTAGGTAGAAATCTCATTAGATGCATGGATTCTGCAGATGGTCCAGTGTTACATGATAGAGTTCTCTTCACCGCGAATTCACCAGCAAACTCTGTGCCGGTTTCTGGCAATCCATAAGGTCCCCATAAGTTACCTGTATAACTTCCACATCATAGCCTGCATGCTGGCATATTACATTTATGTCCCAATTGCATTCAGAACCGATAGATCATCCACATTACACTAGCATTACATTCAGAACCAATGTGACATCCAGTCAGAATCCAAATAACATGCATCACACAAGTCACAGTTAGTATCTATATGAAAATGCCATGTGATCTGAAAGGGCTGCACATCTCTCTCCTGGCACTGCTCTCGACACACCTCATAGCTGGCATATTGTTACCATTGCACTTCAATTCAGGGACTCTCATAGTCCTTCAATGAAACATAGGTAGCTCCTCAATAAAACTCAATGGTGAGCTACAGACTCACCAGATTTGCTGTACCTGAAGATCAATCTGCCTTTTTGGACCTGATCAGCTCTGCAGAGAGTTTATAAATCTGCTGGTTAACCCTTACCTAAAAATGTGTGTTACAAGGAGTACTTCTAGGCAAAAACAATCAGACACGTGGAATGATTTATAGGAGAGAGAGACCACAAGTAAGTTTCTCTTTACTCCTCATGTGTGCAGACACACTTCAAAAAAGATAAAGGGTTAATTACAGTGACATTAAAAATGTATTGGTGTCAGAAATTCGTTGTGGTTAACCTCTAGAGTCTAGACAAATGATTACGATTACAACATTAAAGAAATCAAATTCCTGTTAATTTATGCCCAAACTAATCATTCCATCCAGGATTAATAAATTTTATAAGACTCCACAGGTAAATCCGGGACAGATAGATTTGTTCAGATTAATAGGAATTAGTTCTGATTAACCGGAATTCCTTATCTGTTCCTTAGGGCTACAGTCCATAAATTATGTATTATGTAATAGCATAATATGGGACAAAATAGTGCAAAGTATTCGATGGATACAATATGTGTCTTATTTAGGGCTATATTGATAGAAGCCTGCTTCAATCTCTTCAAAATCTGCTTTACCAACCCCAAATTAAGTTGACTTCTGTTAGAATTTATTCCTCACTCTTCCAAAAACACATTTGAGACAAATCCATGAATCAAGGAGCAGTTTTTTTTTTGTTTTGTTTTTTAATTAGAGCTCAAAACGAATCTGCATGGATCCAGTCCCGAGCAGGAAGTTTGAAGGTATTCTGAATATTGTCTCTGAAGAATTTATTGTTAGATGGGGCATAGTGTAACAGATAACCATTATCATTATGTCAATGTCAACTTCCTTCTCCAGAGAATGGACTTTAAAACGAAACTACCATTTATAGACTGTGTGACAGACAGGTTCATCTACAGGTAGCTACAGATTCAATTTACACATTGTGTTGACACAATTACTAAACCTAAAAATTGCTTAATCTTCAGTCTTGTGTATTACACCCTGAAATAGAAATAACTACTGATCATGTAGCAAGGTTTACCCCAAAGAATGCAAGAATAATGCAAGCACCATCCAGGCCCTAGGGAGAGTGCACAGCTTAGCGGAAAGGAGAACATGTATGAGTGTGGAATGGATGATGCATGATTGGCTATGTGCTATGTGTGGGAGTGTGAAATGTGAGGAAGTGGATGGTGATAGATTAGACTGACCTCAGTGCCACTTAGGAGCCGGGCCAGCAACAAGTTTCCCGCCCACCCTCCCTTTGCTGCTTTGGGCCAGGGAGGGTTGTCACAGCCAGGCGAGGGCATGTCCTTGCCAAATAAGGGATGGTTTGGTAGATTAGATGAAAAGGGTGATAATGGCGGGGTCTCATCCTCCCCCTGTCTCTTATGGTGAACCTGGAGGAGGTAACAGGTTGGACATGTCCCCACTGGGTTGTAAGTCGACCGTTGCATAGCATTATGGTTGGGACCCACCGAGCGGAAAACCGTCTGTTGGGGAGCCCTAAAAAGGAAAATGTTTTTTATTATGCCGAGGGGGGGAGGTGAGAGCCTTTGGGAAGAAGGTAGATTGGCAAGGACGGTTTCTTCGGTTACTGTATGACTACATGCAGATGGTTTATGTTAATTTATTATATTTACTATGTATGTTATACGTTAAAGGAGTTATACAGTATTTGGTTGTGTTAATAAATGCTGTGTCCTGTTTTCTCCAAGAAGTTGTTTATCGTTATTTGAAGGGGTAAGTTATGGTTTTATGGGGGATGAAGGGAATGCTATCCAATGCCCACTATGTACATACATGCATCCCACAAATCCTAGTGCGTGAGTCCCTGTTGTGAGTTATGGATCTTCCCTAAAGATGAAGCAAACAGTAAACAATTCATAATATTCTTCTAGCTTGTTTTTTTTATTAACTAAATGTTAAATTAGGCTGAGTATGTGTGGGTAAAGCATTTCTACATTATTGCAGTCTCAGCTGCTAGTGTGTTCACATCCTAGTATACAGCTGAGTGTATAGTATACCGTAGAGCTGAACACCAACGTGGATAAGCTGGAGCTACAATTTCTTTTTTTTTCCCATAACTGCCTACTTTAGGTAAAATTTTCAAAGTTTGTTATCTTGCGACCATAACTCACTTGCAGTTATCTTGGCACTATAATCACTACAGTAGTGGTTATGGTATCAGTAGTTCCGGATTACCACTAATCTGTCGACTGTTTGCAAACAGTCGGTGTTTACAGGCTGTAAGTGTATAGATTAACCCCTGTATGCTTTAATCTAATTAATTGACTGTTTGCAAACAGTCTGACATCTATTTTGCTGTGTCGCACACTCACGGTCCTTCCAGTTTAAACCTGGTGATTGACACAGCAAGGTAAGAGTCTAGCTGTTTGTATCTCGGTTGCCAGATTATCAGCGGACGTCACCCAGGTTTTCCTAGCACCATAATCACTA